TTCCAGGCAAGAGCCTGGAAGTTTCCCTGTAGGGAAACAGGCTGGAGATCCGGGACGGGCCCTGCAGGGCCCGTGTGGCTGCACAGTATGCCACACCCCCCCCTCCTTGAAAGACCGAGCTACCTACGAGGGCGAAGCTGTCTGTCTGAGGGAGGGACCACAGTCCGGGTGGGAGGGGCAGGTCGTGGAGGTCCCTTGGCTAACCTCTGTCGCTCGTAGTGAGCGTAGATCAGCGGTGCAGACGCTTTCAAATCTGCTCCTGAAATCCACCGAGTGTCATCGGGATCGCATGCTCTGAATGTAACTTTGTACTGGCGCGGCTTGCTGCCATACTTGCGATCTGAGATGACGCGGTCAACCTCCTGATGACCATCCATAAAAGGAGGGTCCTGCGATCGTCGGCCTGGGAAGTCATCGCTCTTAGCTGGTGTATATGTTGCAAGCTTTGACGCATGAAAGACTGGATGGACCGTAAGATGCTCAGGAATGTCGATCACAAATGAAGGGCCATCAGGCTCATCCCGCGGCTGATGTCACTGTCCATGGTCCAAACCACTTAGGGAGTAGTTTGCGTGAGACATCCTGTTCCAATGCAAACTCTTCCGAGGAGACCCAAACTCGATCTCCGGCGCGGATGGGACATGGTACGCGGCGCCTGTTGGCTTGCTGCTGCATGCGGACTTGAGCCTTTTGCATGTTTGTGCGGGCTTGAGCCAGCAATTCCCTGTACATCCGGACGGAAGCGGGAGAGCAAGCGGCGTTAATGTCGGCTGGTCGAGGGAGGAGAAGATCAGCGAAGATACGGCCTTTCCGTCGACCGTGGTGCAACTGGAATGGAGTCACACCGATCGCCGGGTGCACTGAAGTGTTGTAGGCGAACTCGATGTCGAGGAGGCGGTCAACCCAATCTTTCTGGTCCGGACGGATGAGCGTACGAAGCATCATTTGAGCGGTCTGATGTGCCCGCTTCGTTTGCCCGTCTGTCTGTGGATGCCGAGCCGAACTGGGTTTCATCGTCGCGCCGGACTCCTGCATGAGAGAGGTCCAAAAAGTCGACATGAAACGAGTGTCGCGGTCGCTGACTATGTCCTCGGGTACGCCGTGGCCACAAATCCAACCAGTGTGCAAGAGGCGTGCCAGCTCGGGAGCGGTGGAGTAGTACTTGCAAGGAAGAAAACGTGCGTACTTGCTCAATCGGTCCACAACCGTGAGGATGCCGTTGTGCCCGAGCCGGTCTCGAGGAAACGGACCGGTGACATCCATAGCAATGGAGATACCGGGTTCCCGGGGGATAGGCATCGGGCGTAACTCGCGATAGGGATTGCGGTTGCGGGGTTTGCTGCGTCGGCAAACTTCGCAAGAATCGCAATACCGCATGACATCGGAAATGAGGTCGGGCCATCGGAATCGTTGTCGAAGCCGTGCAATCGTGCGATTGACTCGGAAATGGCCGGCGAGTCGCGAATCATGATACTCGCCGAGAAGGCGAGTCCGAAGACGGCGGTCGCGTGGGACACACAGTAAGTCCTTGCCTCTCGAGTGGAGGAGCAAGTACCCGTTGGCAATGCGATAGTGGCTGGCCGGCGTGATGCGTCATAGCGCAAAGATCAGGTCGTCGCGAAAGTGCAGCTGCTGCGCGATTGGAGAGGCCGTCAACGTGTTTCGGTGTGAAGTCAAACTGGTCGATGAAGTACATCCACCGTCCAATCGTGCTGCTCACCGTGTCTTGCGTCTTGTAGTAGGTCAATGGGTTATTGTCCGTGACCCATGTTAACCTACGACGCCCAAGAAGGAAGTGCCGCCATTGCTTGAGAGCCATGACGAACGCAAGCAGCTCCTTCTTCCTTGCATCATCCAGAGAATGGATGGGAGGCACTTTGTGGCTGAAATACTCCACAGGGTGCCAATCCTCGCCGTCGTGCTGCTCCAAGACTGCCCCAATGCCGTAACCGGAAGCGTCAGTCGTCACTCTCGTCGGCAGAGTGGGGTCGTAGATGCTAAGGACGGGTGCCATGAGCATGGCCGTCTTGAGTGCTTGGAAAGCCTGGCGCGCGTCGTCATCGAATACGAATGGCACCTTTGGCGATTGTAGTCTCGTCAGAGGTGCGGCAATCCTKGAGTATCCGGTGATGAAACGCTGATAATAGCCTGCCAACCCCATGAATGAACGAACGTCCGTGGTGTTGGTGGGCTCGGGCCATACGCGGATGGCCTCGATCTTGTCCGCAAGCGGACGGATGCCTTGCGGYGTCACATAGTGTCCCAAGTACTCCAGCTCTTGCCGCGCGAATTCGCATTTGTCGCGGTTGGCTTTGTACTTGGYCTGTCGTAGCCGTTCMAGAACGRTGCGCAGGTGCTCCACATGCTYGTCCAAACTCCGAMTGTACACCAAGATGTCGTCGAGGTAGATGAGTACGAAACGATCCAGCATGTGTCAAAACTCCAATGTCATAGCCGCCTGGAATGTGGCTGGGGCATTCGTAAGGCCAAACGGCATGACCAGCCATTCGAAATGCCCATATCGCRTTTTAAACGCGGTCTTGTATCGGTCCTCCGGGCGAATCTCAAGTTGGTGATAACCCGACTTGAGGTCCAACTTGGAGAAGAACTTGGCGCCGCCCAGTCGCTCCAGGAGATCGTCGATGCGTGGGAGAGGGTCGACGTTCTTGACCGTCTGCGCGTTGAGCTTACGATAGCCGATGCACAATCGCAAATCCTTGTTCTTCTTCCGGACGAAGAGAACAGGCGCACCGTATGGCGAAGAGCTAGGTCGAATCCAGCCTTTCTCCAGAAGGTCGTCGAGTTGTGCCCGTAGCACACTTAACTCTTCCTCGCTCATTCGGTAGATGCAACCACGCGGAGGTACAGCCCCGTCCTCGAGGATGATCTCGTGGCGGATGGGCCGATCCGGTA